CGACGCGATGAGAGCAGTTTCTAAAATAATATCCAGGGGATGCATGCAGAGCTGTCATTGGCTGAGATAAGTCCGGCCGTGCGTCACGCCTCCACCGTTCCCGGAAATGCATCCGCGGAGGAGCCGTGGAGGAACCATCAGTGTAACCTCGGTTAAAGCTCCTCCAGAGAGCCTCCTCGACGCTCGATCCTCGGTCCTCGGTGTGCATTTAGAGAAATGAGATGTCCTTCAAAATGGCGCGCTGAAATTCATTTCCGGGTCACTACCGGAGGACCGAGGAGTCGAGGAGGGGAAATTTGAGTATTGAGAAGCCTCTCGGGTGTTTTTGTGCTGTGTTTACTTCCTTATTTGGGGCACTACAGAGCCGAGTGCTGTTTGTTTTTTTAAATGATATCGATAGGGGGAAAAAAAGTGTGATCAAATATGTGCTTTACAAAGTTGAGAAAATGTGGCATCTCTTTTTGGACCACGCCGAATCTAAAGTTTCTAAATATCCAGTTATTTAAAAGTGTTTCATTCTTGTTGCTCTTGTTTATTATAACTCAACATTTTTTTTGTTGCATTGAATTTATCCGTAAACCTCAAAACAAAGAACACAATTAAGAAATATAAAATTAATCAACTATTTTAGTTATCTCATGATCTTATGGTATCTCAAAAGTGTTAAGCATTAACCCTTTAACACAAACTGTGAATGCACTTTAAATGAAGGGGACTGAGAATAGATATAAAGCATTTCATGACACAGAACATTATTTTATGTCTCTTATCCAGAGGTGGGAGGAGTACTCAGATCGTGTACTTAAGATATAATAAGATGGACCTTTATTTATCCCTGTGGGGAAATTCAGGAGTTAACAGATTTGTCCACAAAAATAAGATATACAGTAGTAACTGTTAAGATACATACATGTTTAGGTTCAGATAGTTAGATATATTGACATGTAAGTGTGCAGATCAAAGTCATTTGTACTAACAGTGCAGATTTTATGTATGTACAGTAGAGGTTACGGTTAGCCCTTGATCGTGCAGTCTGATGGATGTCAAAGTACCAGAGTGTAGGAATATTCTGTTACAAGTAAAAGTCCTGCATTCAAAATGTTACACCCAGATCTAGGGGAACGTATGGCGCAGCATAAAATTGCCCTCTCCCAACTCTTCCCACTCCCAAGAAATGGTAAACGACAGGAAATCAGCTCTTTGAGATTTAATAAGTCAAAGAGGTGAGACAACCCCAACATAACAAACATTACATTTAGCTGACGCTTTTATCCAAAGCGACTTACTATAAGTGCGTTCGACCAACAAGATACAAACTTGAAGAAAACAGAATCATATAAGTACATCAGGTTTCATAGAGCTAAAACATTTCAAGTGCTACTCAACTGGCTTTAGATGAGCCAGTCCTTTATTAGTATACAAGTGCTTTGTTAGTAATTATATCGCTCGAAGTGGAGTCGAAAGAGATGAGTTTTCAGTCTGCGCCGGAAGGTGTGTAAGCTTTCTGCTGTCCTGATTTCAATGGGGAGCTCATTCCACCATTTTGGAGCTAGGATAGCAAACCCACGTGTTTTTGCTGATGGGAACTTGGGTCCCCCTCGCAGTGCGGGTGCAGCGAGCTGTTTGGCTTATGCAGAGCGGAGTGCACGTGCTGGGGTGTACAGTTTAACCATGTCCTGGATGTAGGAAGGGCCAGATCCATTCGCAGCATGGTACGCAAGTACCATTGTTTTGAAGTGGATTCTAGCAGTTACCGGAAGCCAGTGAAGGGAGCGGAGGAGCGGCGTGGTGTGGGAAAATGTAGGAAGGTTGAAGACCAGACGAGCCGCTGCATTCTGGAGGAGCTGCAGAGGTCGGATGGCACCAGAGGTCGCGTTAACCGAATATTTTCCGTCTGACGGATTTTTTTTAACAATGACAGACAAATCTGAAAGCAGTCCGTCATTTTGACAGGTTAGAACAAACTCGGAACAGCGCCAAAGTTTCCCCGCAGCGAGGCTCCGGTGTTATAAATGCCGTGTTATGCATGCCCTCCAAAAAGGAAATGATACCGTTTCCAAACCTAACTGTGCCGTACAAATCATTGAAATGTCTGTGAGTTTTGGCTTTATCTAGGGCCACACCCAGATTCCTTGCAGTCTGAGTCGGGGAAACAATAGAGGTGCCGATGTTGATTGTCAGGTCAAGAGTGGGACAATCTTTTCCCGGAAGGAAAAGCAGTTCAGTCTTGTCAAGGTTGAGCTTGAGGTGGTGAGCAGACATCCACTGAGAGATGTTCGCTAGACAAGCAGAGATGCGTGTGACGACCTGGGTCTCTGAGCGGGGGAAAGGACATAATTAATTGGGTGTCGTCAGCGTAGCAATGGTATGAAAAACCATGCAGGCTAATGACTGATCCGAGCGAGTTTGTGTACAGGGAGAAGAGGAGGGGACCAAGAACAGAGCCCTGAGGGACCCCTATAGTTAATTGACAAGGGTCGGACTCGGACCCTCTCCAAGTTACCCTGTAGGTACGGTCTTTGAGGTATGAGGTGATGAGGGAAAGTGCAGAGCCTGAAACTCCAAGTTATTGGAGAGTGCGAAGGAGGATCTGATGGTTCACCGTGTCAAATGCAGCAGACAGGTCCAAAAGGATGATGACAGAGGAGAGGGAGGCTGCTTTAGCAGTGTGCAGTTCCTCAGAGACAGCAATGAGAGCCTTTTCTGTGGAGTGACCTGCCTTGAAACCAGACTGGTGCGGATCCAGAAGGTTGTTCTGATGGAGATAACAGGAGAGTTGTTTAAAGACAGCGCCTTCAAGTGTTTTAGACAGGGACGGGAGGAGAGAGACAGGCCTGTAGTTTATAACATCGGACGGGTTGAGAGTGGGTTTCTTTAGGAGAGGGTTTACTCTTGCCTCCTTGAGACTGTTTGGAAAGTGACCAGAAGTTAGAGAAGTGTTGATGAAGGAGGTTTGAGGGGATAGGGTCCAGAGGACAGGTGGTAGGGCGGGCAGAGGTAATGAGGGTAAGAACCTCACTTGGAGAGAGAGGGGGAAAGGAGGTTAGTGTGTGGGTGAAAGGTGGGTCTGGTGACCCAGCGGTGAGTAAAGGTGAGTCAGAAAAAGAGCGAATATCAACCTTTTTTTCAAAGTCGCTTGACAGAAGGGAGGAGTGGGAAGGGGCATTGGGGGGGTCCAAGAGGGTGGAAAAGATGTAAAATAGTTTTTACAGAGTTTCCTTAAACTTGCCTAACAAAACAAATCAAATACAGGCTTATTATACTCTTACCAGTAAACAGGAGATAAAGGTTCAAACTAAAAGAGGGTTTCTCACTCCTAAACAAATCAAAGTGTGTCTACAAAGACATGTAAATGTAGTTTCTCTTTCTAAGGTTTCACAACAAGCAAAAGGACCGGTATAAGTATACATACAGCACAACAGGACAGCTATCTCAATACGCAAGTGTGTTGGGAGTAGGAGAAGTCTAGTCAGAGAGAGGGCAGAGGAACTGCACGGCTGCAGCTTAAATGCTCCTGTCTCCTCAGGTGGACAAATCAGCAGGTTGAAGGTAGCTAATCAGCTAACGGGCACCACCTGCTTGCTTGCTCGCTCGCACACACACACACACACACACACACACACACACACACACACACACACACACACACACACACACACACACACACAACACACACACACACACAACACACACACACACACACACACACACTCACACAGGAGGAGGGAAATATATCTACACACAAATGACATAACGACCCAGGGTCGTAACACTCAGTAAAAGTACAAAAGTATTGGCATCAAAATATACTTAAAGTACCAAAAGTAAAAGTACTGCACAGTGTTTCATTTCAGAATAATATATGATATATTTTGATTATAGTTATTGATGTATTCAAGTGTTCTCAAAGCTGGTAAAGGTGCAGCTAGTTTTAATGACTTTGTATACTGCAGGGTAGATTGTGAATTTACTCCAGGTGGAACTAAAGTCTGATTTAACACTTGATATTTTACATTATGAATCCATATCTGTAAATTAACTAAAGGTACAAAATAAATGTAGTGGAGTAGAAGTACATAGTGGAAATACTCAAGTAAAGTACAAGTATCTCAAAACGTACAGTATTGTATTGAGTTAATGTACTTAGTTGCTTCCCACCTCTTCTCTTATCATATGCATTAACAAATGAACACCAGACTGCAGGGACAGTTTTATCCTACAGGCCATAATACTGCTAAACTCCTGAGCTTGCAGTATTTTTATTATTTAAAAAAAGAATTCGTTTAATGTCTCAAGTGTATTTATGTTCCATTGTTGGAAGAACCTGTGACACAATATTTTCATTGCGCAACTACAATGTAGCTGTGTATTTGACATCAAAACCTTTGAACCTTTGAAATACATGTTCTCTTTGTTTGAGGGCCACATGTTAAACTATATAGATTATATTATATTAGAAGCATGTATTGTCATTTATACAAGTACAATAAGAAGAGTAAAGTTACTCACATTTTAGGACACTTTTTCTGAAGCACTTTTGAAATATGCAATCAGTTCTAACACAATTAGGGGGGAAATAGTATTAGATATATAAGAAAATGTTGAGTAAGGCTTGTGCCGATTACATTTTGAGTGACATATATCTCCAATAATCATGATAAACTCAGATTTAGCAGTCAGTTTAATAAAACTCAGTGCATAACTCACAAGCAAGTCAAAAATACATATAAGGCATGCAAATGAGAGGATCATTTTGAATCCATCTGGCAGATGTACCTCAGGGCACATGTTTCCTCCTCTACTACACAAACTGTCTGATGTGACAGTCTTTTACATTATTCCCACAACACGAACATACATGTAATGAATGAAAGAACTACTGCCTAAATGATTCAATCTGTACATCTTCATGTGCCTTTTTGTGTACCCCGGCATTCCCTCAGACGGTTGCCTCTTGGCTGAGCTCATAAATCCCTCTTTATTCCGCCGCCTGCTGCCATAAAAGCGCCGGGAGCTCATTGTGCGGAGGGATCTGATACAGACTACACCCAGCCGCTGCTTCACTCCCTGGCTTTCTTTGCTGCCCCAGCCTTGACGTTGTTAACGTCGTAGTGCGGGTTAGATTAGAGACTGTCCACTCGTCTCTAGGTTTCCTTCTGATTTGTCTCTCTCCTGTTTGGCAACAGTACTTCCGAAGCAGCAGGGATATCCACATAGCATCAATTTTCTTGAACATGTCTTGGCAAAGCTACGTGGAGAACCTGATGGCCGATGGCAGCTGTCAGGATAGCGCCATTGTTGGTTATACGGACGCCAAATATGTTTGGGCAGCACATGCCGGTGGTACCTTCAACAATATCACGGTAAGGGGTGAACATCGGATAATATGAGTTAAAGTGTGGCTTCGTTTAACAGTGTTTTGCAGGTTATGCACACACAGACGCTCGACAGACTGTGAACTGTTACCTTGCGGGGTCTGAATGAAGCTAACGGTACCGTGCTAGCAGCTAGCTCGTTTATCGGTGGCCTGTCCGTTATTTCCTGCTAAGGAAACGCTGCAGGATTAGACCTCGTGTTGATCAGATAAGACTCCTTGTGGTTTTCACGTACCACTAAAGCGTACAACGACAAGTTGCGGTTAGAAAGCTCTAACAGAATTGTCGAATCAGTGCTATATTAACCAAAGGCTTATTTTGAACCAGCAAGTAGACGGTGTCTGACTGAAGAAAACGGGCATGCTTTTGTGTGGCCGCTTTGATTAGCTAACGTTAAGCTTCACCGGCTACCTGTGGTTAAAAGGCTAACACTGGGGGATGATTGGTTAGCATACGAATAGGCTTCCTCGTCAGTAAAATAAGAAACTCATCTGATAATTCATACATGTATGTTTTTGGTTAGGAATGACAATGTGTTTTTTTCCTTATTCATTGAGAGGGATGGGATGAGAGCTAGTCTGGCTGCGAAGACGTCACTTAACTTCCGCTGCTGCAGGGATTGGATGTGTTCATCCCCAGAAATTCTAGTTGTAATCAATATATTGGCAAGTTTTCAAATTATGTTCATAAACATTCTCTCTTAATTTGCTGCAAATCTTAATGTTGTTTTTATATATAGGGCTGATGCCAGGATAGTCGTTATATTTCGAATAGGGCTACAAATAACAAGCAACTCTCATTATCGATTACTCTGCAGATTAGTCGATGAATCACTCGTTCCAGAACATTTCTAGTCAATACGGTAACTATAATTGATAAGAAAACAGATGTTGTGTATAAAAGTGTTTTGAACCTATTCGGTTTACTATCATGAATGAATATATAAATACCTGAAACTATTAATTGAAATTCAAAATGGTTGCTGGTAAATTGACAAGCTGCAACGATTAGTCAACTAAACGATTACTTTTTTGACAAAGTCATCTCCAACAAACTTTATAATGGGTAAACTGTTTAGTACCTTTTTTCAATACACCAGATTCATCCTCTATAAACTAGAATTAACATTTTTCTAACGCTAAAAACAAAGACTAAACTAGAAACAATCAAATCAGCTAATCATTTATATTAGTTGAGTGTTTAACTCTAGTTGACAGTGTCCACATATTTTTTTTTAAATCATAACTGCTTAATCTTTTTTTATATGGGAGGTACTACTATTTATTTATCTTTAAAACCTAACGGAGTAGTTAATTTATTTTATTTTATACTCCTGAGGAAGTATGCCAGTCATGTACCTGAAAGCGTATAAAGTAAATAATAGTATTTGTAACATGAATAAACTGACATTTCCCAATCCTGTGTATTTTTTCAGTCCCAAGAAATTGATGTCCTCATCGGTAAGGACAGGGAGAGCTTTTACACCAGCGGTATGACTCTGGGTGGAAAGAAGTGTTCAGTCCTCAGAGACAGCCTCCATGATGACGGGGACTGGACAATGGACATCAGGACGAAGAGCGGGGGTAGGAGAACCCACTTACAACGTCACAGTGGGAAGAGCCGGAAAAGGTAACATTGTAGTTCAGAATTGTTAACTTTATCATCCTAACCATTGTTGTGTTGTGTATGAGGGCTACCTCACATGAGTTTTGTGACTCAAGGTTGGACATCCAGGGGTCAGTTTTGATTACATCTACAGCAACATGATCACACTTTTGTTAATTTGAGCTTTTTAACATTTAAAGATGTCACCTCTGGATTTTTCATTCTTGCTATTTAATCTCCTTTTGAGCTAAGACACTTCAGTTATTTCAGATCTAATTGCTCACAACTAGCTAAAGTGAAACATAACCCAAGAGTCACAATAACATATGTCTGCTCGTCATCAAACCGTATCCAGGGTTTGCCTCATGGACTGTATATATCAATGGATGGACGTCACAAATAGTAGGAGTAGTGTTTAGGGGGGGGCCAAAACTGCGATATCAAGCCCCACACACCAGCTAGCTGCTAAGTTGACACAATGGTAGTGGTTTGGCCAGAAAGACTAAGTCTAACTCTTGTATTGTAAATGTATGATCAAATTGACACATGTTTGTATCTCACAGACTGTTATAGAACATTTAACTCGGAGCAGCTGTCAATCCTCACCTCGCTCTCACACTATTTTTATAGTGAAATATAACTAATTAAAACCAAACTTATCAAAACTTTTACAACCATTAGCTTGACAATTAATTCCTAGCGTGACATAAATCACCTTTGTGAAAAATTGAGTTAAAGTTTTTAGTTTATCGTCCGCCGTTTTATATATACAGTCTATGGTTTGCCTACTCCAGTCCATTTGCCTTTGTGGTCCTCAATGTCTGATATTGCTTCAGTGTTTCTCACATGATACTTTCAGTAGTCTGACTCTGTTTTGGTCAGTTATCCCTTTTTATGTGGGGAAACACTGATTGCAATCACAACCAAACTCTGTTTTCCTTTCTTTTTCCCATCACTGTTCCTCTTTTCTGTTGAGTGTCCTCCTGCCTTGCATGTTATACTCAAAGAATGGTTATCAAAAGAGCACTAACATTGCCTGTATTTAAGCACACCCTTAAGTTCCCATTGAGTCCCTGGCATGTATATTAATTAAGTCTTAATTTAGAGAAATTAGCCTATCACTTATGGGCTGTTTTCTGTGTGAGACTCTGGTTCGTCAGTCTGAAGCTGCTGTTAAAAGCAGACGTCAGCAAAAGCTCTCCTAACCAATAACTGCATAAAAGTGTTTTGATGGTGATATTCAACCATGTGTTATGGATGGCCAGTTCTGGGTGAGACATTTATCACTGTGAATATTCCATTAAAAAAAAAAACACAAGTCATTATTTGGTATGTTAATTCAAAAATAATGTAATTATCATAATTTGGCCGTCCAAACTGTACGGATAAGTGCTGCACAATTCATCTACAGTTTATCGTCGTGCAAAATCTGAATTTGTGTTTTTAAATGAGTACCATTTTGAAATGAAGTATTTTGAAGAGGTTTCCCGGCCTACAATTTGGTATTGTTCGGACTTAACAAAATACTTTTGAATACAGATCTTCTACAATTAATTATTATTTATTGATAATGATGTGAAAATAATCCAAATTGCAATATCAGTGAAATTATTTTCAATGATTTATTTCCAACCAAGTTGTACAGCGCTAGTATGGACAATGCATGATTACATTTGTAAAACTAGCATCTATGCTAGCAAATGGCGTGCCCGTGAGCCCTGAATGGCACACAGTTAAATATCTATCTTCACGCTGCTGGTGATGATTTCTTTCTTGGAATGCCTTTCCCTTTTATCCTTTTTTCACTTTTCTTAACTGTCCCTTTTCTATCTCTTCTCTTCCAGTTTTGGTTCTTGTAATGGGCAAAGAAGGGGTCCATGGAGGCGGATTGAATAAGAAGGCTTTCTCAATGGCAAAATACTTGAGGGATTCAGGGTTTTAATGTTTTACAAGCTCACTTAGATCACAATTTGAGGGACAAAAAAAAAAGAAGAGAGAAGAAATAATGCTGTTAAGATTTCTCCTGCAAGCAGTCAAATGTCATGGAAACCTTTTAATAGCAAATGAAGAGTGGTAAGATACTGTGTCACCTTTTTGTTACCCCCTCTTCATCCTGTAAGGGGGTGGGGGGAGGGGGAGACTCTTCAATTTTGTTCATTTCTCTTTTCTTCCTTATGTGCTCCAGTATTGGTTTTTGTCATGGGAAAGGAGGCGGTCCATGGTGGAATACTAAACAAGAAAGCACATTCAATGGCTGACTACCTGAGGAAGGCTGGATATTAAGCAACCTCTCCACCCATCCATCAGCCCACCCCCCCACCCAACCAACCACCCACCCACCGCATTGTGTTGACACTCCTTCCAGGATTAGACGGCATACAATGTAACATCCTACCCAGTGTACCCTTTTTAAAAACGGCCTTTTGTTTGCTAACATCCCCTCTTTTTTTTATTTTATATAAACCCCCCCCAACCCCACTTAAACCTTGTACTTTATTTTTTTTGGCACTGCAGTAATGGCATGTACATTGAAATGTTTATTAACAAAATAAAAGTGTAAAACAAATTGGGATTGGCTTTGTATAACATCACTTACGATAACAAGCAGAAGTACACATGTAACGGCGGTTTTGCTTAACCCTTATGTTGTGTTCGGGTCTCCCGTGACCCGTTTAAATTATATAATAACTACGCTCTAGTTTTTTTTTTATTAACGGAACAAGGCTTCATGATATCCTCCACAACAGCTATATAAACACTAAAAAAACTGATTTTGACAATTTAAGCTAAGTCTGATCGTCTCAACAAAAAAAAAGGTGTATCATTTGGCGTCGGGTCTGGGAAGAACCAGCCGCATTGTTGGGGGTGACTCAGGGGCAAATTTGACCCAATCAAGATTCATCTTTGACTTTAGACACCCCACCCCCTTCATCCGCTGTAACAATAATTTAAAACCTTTTGGGGGGGAGATTGTATTCTAATATTAGTCAGATAAATAATGATCCACTGTCTTCTCTATAGGAAATATGAGTGAATTGAGGTGCAATGTTTTTTGGGGCCATACAATTACAACAGGATTGTGTGGTTATGAATGCATTATAAGTGAGTTATGATGTAGTTAAAACAATATTAGATGATGGTGTTTTGGACTGAGATAAATCCTGGGTCAAAATTAACCCGCGAACATGGTGAACGGTAACAGCTTTTGAACACAACACAAAGGTTAGCAAAACCATAAAAATGGCTGTTTTTTTTGTTTGTTGGCATCTAAAGTTGCATGCATACCCTCTTTAGCAAATCTCTGTTCCTGAGTAATATTCCAGCCAAAACCCATCTTCTCTTCTGCCTCCATCTTGAAAGAAATGTCCTCTGAGAAAGTCCTGTATGTGTGTACCAATTTGCTACCTGTTCCCCTCCATCACATGCTTTTGCTGTTGTACCTGAACGTGGTCTTAATGATGTGGGCTGTCGTTTTGAGTGTAGTGTAAGAAGAAGACATATTCACAACATCCTGCAGTCTGCGGACACCTCCATGACGGCTCGGACATTTGTCAGCTTCTGCTATTTGTACATTTTTCTGTGCATCACTTCCACCATGTGAAGTTATTTTGTACCCTGCCCCCTTTGGACAAATTGTCAAAAGTAAGAGGATTAACAAAGTTTTTCTGATGGAGGATTGTTGGCATCACCTGTTGACTGTAAACCGTAAAGGCGACTTCAGATGTTAAACCGCTTCCTTAGACATCGACGCAACTTTCATCACTAATTGATTTGTAGCTGACTTCATGTCCATTAACCAATGAAACAGCATTTGACTACAGTATGAAGGACTGTACATCGAGGGTTGTTGGGCTCCTTGGAATTATTTGCCTTGTGCTTTAGTCATCAAAGGTGTATTCACAATTGTCATAGTACGGTACTTAGAAGTATATTTAAAAGAAGAAACAAATGAAGCTGTGTTCACTAAAACCTCTTGAAAATGGTGTTGGAATAAGAACATTTGTAAGTTGTCTTGTGAACATTTTCTGAGAATAACTGTATTCTGTGCCATAAAAATTGATCTGATCTGTTTCTACGAGTTGGATTATTAACTGCTGCCCCGGAAAAAGAAGTAACTTTGAATGGCACGCTCCTAAGGGGGATGTTTTGGCATCAGTAATCTCCAGACTTTGTGGAATATGTACAGAATTAAACAATGGAAAAATAAGTTTGCGATATTTTGTCTTTTTTTTCTTGTTGTAAATTCTTTCGGACACAAAATCTGCTATTTCGAATGCCATGAATTGATGAGACATCTTGTTTGCAGACAGATCAATAAAAGTTACTCCAACCAGAGGTAAAGCCAATATGTCCTGTCTGTTGCCTCGTAAGTACATGTTGTCTAATTCAAGAGTTTTATATCATTTATTTTTAATTAAGGTTATCAGTTCACACTTTTTCAATAATGATACATTACATTAGCTGTGACGCATGTCTTTTTGGGACATAGGTTAATCTTGTATTATTCAATCAATACAGCTAATCACTACTGCCTTACCATTAACTTTTGAACAAATAGATTCCACTAGAATTGTATTATGGGAGATGAAGTCAGGATTAACCTCCTACTGAATACCAGAGATAACTACTCAATATTCCTTTGCAGAAAGTTAGAGGACAATCCACATTTCTATTGCATTTGACCAGATGAGAACCAGTAGTGCCAGATATTTCGATAATGATGTTTTTTTTAAGCACAGCCAGTGGTGGAAAAAGTATTCAGATTCGTTATTCTAGTAAAAGCAGTGTTACCACAACAAATACTAACTTTCAAGTCAAATAACTGCATCAACAAGGGTACTTGTGTTAAAGTATGATTAGGATGTACTTCAAGTATTAGGAGTAAAATAACTAATTGCAGAAACAAATATTTGAAAGCAAATCTTCACATTTAAGAAACTGAAACAGTGAAATATATTTTAACAAAAAAGTTCCTAGCAAAAGTACAAGTACTTCAAATGTGCACACAAGGACAGCACTTTAAACGAAAATGTACTAGCCTAAGATTGGTTATAATAAGGGGAAATATGAAGGGTATATTTCAATTTTTGGGCTTTTTTTTTTCATCAACTAAGATGTGTTATATGTTTTCAACTTGAATTGACTAAATGTAAACATATATATTTAAGAGGTACAGTATAAGAAAAGCACAAGTTTCATGTGTGGGCTATTTTCCATAATCCTTTTTGAATTTGCTGAGGGCCAACTAGAACAACAGGCCTCAGTTGGTCCTAAGAGCAACACTAAACTACCCTGCATCCTCAGATGTACACATTTCAGAGTGAGAAGCAGTGGTGGAGTGTAGCTAAGTACATTTACTCAAGTACTATTTTGAAATGCTTTACTTTATTTCCATTGTATGCTACATATGCTTCTACTCCTCTACATTTTAGAGGCACACATTTTATTTGTACTCTTCTACATTCATATTTATTATCTACTTTGTACATGATACGATATGATGATATGCAGTACTGTACTACTAATCTAACCTTCCTCTAAAAAGTACTAAAATGGTCTCAACATTTACAAACTACAAACATTAAAATGTATCCCTTTGGTGATAAAACAGAATAATACTGTGAAAAAAGAGTCAATGTGCATATTGAGTACTTTTACTTTGGATCATTGAAGTATATTTTGATAATAATACTTCTACTTAATTCATAAATGTTACTTCTATGGAGTAAAAGTTATAAATTGGAGTATTTTCAAACCATAGTATTTCTGCTAGAAGTTTATCAGTGGACACATACAGTACAGAGTAGACAAAGACATTTTATTATCTCACGCTATAATATATATTCTGAATCTGCTTGTTCTAGCCACACCAAGTAAAATCTTCAAACCCACACGATAACATGTAAGCTACTTTTTGGTTTGCTATGACAAATTATTGCGAGTAGTGACAGCCACAATCTCAAGGAAAAGCTAAACAGATATTGGCTTCATCTGAAATCATAAATCTAAAAAAAATCAAGACAAATGTGATAAACAAGGCTAAAAACCATGGATGTCCAATAAACGTCAAAAGAAGAACAATTTAATGTGTATCTTTGTTATTCCTCCACTGCCAAAGACTACATGTCAGTAGGGTGTTCAGAGACACAAATGAACGCCCGCCCTTAATTGCTGGATTGGCAGCACCTGCTGTGGTGAGGTGTAATCAATCCCAATCAGGACCAACTGTGTTGAAAAACTGCCTGCAGAGGAGAGAGCACACTGCTACAGCACTGCTAGTGTTCCTGTGTTCCAATGGCGTGTCGAGACAGCGGGGACAGTAGGATTTTACTATGTTTAGGAGTTTTACTGGTTGCTAGTTCATTTAGCCATTGCACAAGACTGACAAAGCCTAAAGCCTTGGATACACTAAGAAGAAACTCTACAAGTAGCAATGGGCAAGCTAAAGGAAGTGAACAGCACCATGGAAGACTCTTAATAGGGCTACATTCTCAGCAAGGAACCACAAAGAACCTTCTGGATGCTGATGCAGATTACCAAGATGACATGGGTATGTAGCTGTAATACTTGCAGTCCTGCAAGTGACTACAAGAGTTGTTAATCATGTCAAGTTTTTTTAAGACTAAGTCCAATGCTTTTATTTTTTACTTGTAGTTGTGTACATTTGAATAACTGTGCAAACCTTACTTTTCAAAGCTTCGGATGAAGGCTATTCAAAGCAAAACAGTGAGGCAGTGGAACGTCTTCTCAAAATGGAACCAAAGGTTGAATGTACAGGCAACTCCATGAGACTTGAAGTCCAAGATGCTGCTTCTACCCCTGGATCTCTCTTCTTTGTGGACAGGGGTATGTTTAACGTGTGGAATGATGCATATACAGCTATTACTTGTACTGTACACAATACTTTTAAAATCTCCTGTCAAATGTATTGTCAGGAAGTGGCTTGTCTCCACTGCCTTTGTCGAAGTTGCCACAAAGCTGCGGTTACACCATCAGATCAACACGGAGAGATTTGGTCTTAGTTGCCCCTTACGATGGCTGCTTTGTCGCTGTTGAGGTGAGATATACTTAATCTTGAAGCAATGCACATTTGAACCATGTACACATGCAACATTTGCTTTCTGGCTTTAGGAGGACTACTACGTTCTCCCATTGCGTTGGTATGGGTTACCAGTGAGGATGTCATGCCCTATGATGAAGCAGTCATCACCTGACCCTCCGAGGATCACCTGCCATGATCAGGGCATGATCGTGAAAACGAGTTGGATAGTCCCTGTTGCTAAAATTGTAGTAAATTGTAAGTAGTTTCCTTTTTCTTTCGATATTTTGTATCTTAATGTTGAAGATAAATATTAATGGATGCCTATATACATTTGATTGTTAGGGCCTATGTATAGTGCATCATTGCAGTCGTTTATTTAGGGGACATCTGTGTTCTTTATGCTATTCCATGTCTGCATTGATTAAACTCTGCACATGGCACACTCCAGTTTAACTTCTCCTGGCAGTCTGTGATATACTTACACTAACTATGATTCCGTATGCATTCTATTAGATCGTTACCTCTGTCATGCGCAATGTCCACTAGTGGCCTGGTATTTGGAATCTATTTTACATTGCATTTAGCTGACGCTTTTATCCAAAGAGACTTACAATAAGTGCATTCGACCAACAAAATACAAACTTGAAGAAAACCGAATCATATAAGTACATCATAGTCTAGCAGCAAGTCCTCAAAAAAGGCTTTAGTTTTTGAGATACCCCTACCCGAGGTAGAACAAATGACAACAATGATTTTTCTTATCTTTAGGGTCTCCCATTAATAAAATTGATTGTTGTCAAATTTTATTTGAGGAAAAAAATGTTTTTTTTGGTTCTTTAGAACTACCCTTGCTCCTGTGGGTATTGTCCACAGTACATGACCATTGCATGTATGATATGTGTAATGTGTATTTGTAAAGCGCTTTGAGCATCTGGAAAAGCGCTATAATAAATGTAAGGAATTATTATTATTATTACCCCAATCCCTGAAAAAGAGCCAAATTAGACCAGGCCGAATGTGGGAAAGGTGACAAAAAGCCCATAACTTGAGAATGACCACTCTTCCTCTTCAGATTTGCTGAGGTATGAACCAGGTGGCTGTCCTACATCACCAAATAGTCAGACAATTATTTAACTAAAGAAATACTGAATTATAGTCCTGTAGACTTCGCTTTAGTTTAGACGGCAATTGTACTTTTTGGTGATAGGAACATAAGACTCCATCACTTTCCTCTCATTTATCAGAAAAACAGAAATCCCTAAAAAATATACCATTACTGAATTGTCTAGGGTGCTATTGAACACTAACCAGTAGTTATATGGAAATATCTGGTACAGTTCTATTGCAAATGAGATTTCTTTAGACATAGGCCTACCTCTTCTCTGATACAGTCACATTCCGAATGGGGGAGAAGTGGCACAATAGCCTATAAGTTAAGAATGCTCACTCTGATGGTCATTATATTTGGAGAGGGAAATACCAGGTGGCTACATCACCAAATAGTCAGAATATGAGTAACCCAATACAATCAAGTGTATTAGTTCTAAATTGCAAGCCTCTAAAACAGGGGTCCCCAAACTTTTTCCTGTGAGGGCCACATAACTTTTCCCTTCTCTGATGGGGGCCGGGTCAGTTTGTAACAGAAAAAGTGTGACGATCGCATGGGTGTCTAAACTTAAACATTTATTGTTTTCTAGAAAGCCACACATAACCAAATATTAATAACCCTTTCTGGGATCTTCACAGAAAAAAAGTCAGGAAATAAATAATAACACTATTAATGAAATAAATAACACTATTTATGAAATAAATAATAACCAAATAACCCTCTCTGGGTTCTTCACAGAAAAAAAGTCCATTGAAAATTACTGTAACTTTCTGTTGTGCCGTGCACAATCTTAACAGGTAAAAGTTTAGCTTAGTTGTCAGAGCAGAATCTCTCAAAATAAATGTGGATTTACGTAAAAAAAACTATTTTTTCGGGGTTCGGGTGTTTTGTTTGATTTTAAACAAACAAAGTCTTGGCTTTCAGAATATGAAACTTTTATTTCTCACTCGCAATCTGCTCTTCCGCAGCGCCGCCCCCCCCCCTCACTCCGCTGAAATTATGAATGTAAAAGTATAGTAATCATAGATAACACGGCAGGGTCCGTTACAGTTTGTTTTCATCTGATTTCAATTAAACAAAGTCTTGGCTTTCAGAACATTAAACTTGTTTCGGCAAATTCAGATGATAAATACAACTTTGAAGCTTCGGCATAATTACAAGCAGAGAGTAACTTAACGTCACAGCAGGCATAACAACAGCCGGTGTTTCTCGTTAGTGTTTTCCCCGGGAAACAAACACAATACACACAAACGCAAAATTACACAAGCACACACACTCACACACACACACGTATACACACACACTCGCGAGCTTCCCCTCCAAACGAAAATATCTTCCCTCGGTAGTATTTTGATCATTTGCTCCGCTAATAATCAATCAGATCGATGGATTCCAGAGAAGAGACAACTTTGAAGGCCTTTTTCTCAAAATGATGACTCGGTGACAGTCATTATATAATGTGACATATTTCGCTTAATATTTGAAGTACAAAAACAATCCTGATATCATTAGAAAGCTAGGAATATCCTCTTTCCAACAGTGTATACAACTCAAAAGGTGTCTTCGGGTCAATGCGACTGATTTAGATGGAGCAGGTCACAACATTTTGACAGGGGCTAGTCTAGCATTCGCGTGGCCAGACTGGAATTTTTTTTTTTTAAATAAATCATAATGTGTCTCTGGTATTGTTCAGGGGGCCGGGCCAAATGTGGAGGCGGGCCGTACCCGGCCCGCGGGCCTTAGTTTGGGGACCACTGCTCTAAAACATAGGTGTAAATAGTACAGGTTTTATTGAAACTTGAACCTTAATTCAAAGTACAGTATATAAATCATCAAATAATTATGTGAGAGGTCAAGTATATAGATAGATACTAGAATATAATGTTAAATGTCAGGTTCCTCAGAAACGTTAGAGGACACATTTTGACATTCTGCACAGCAGGTGCAGAACTCCGTCCAGGGAAGGCCAACAGAGGCACTTTCCACTCTCTCCACACTTTGCGTCTTTGCAATACAAGTGAGTAATGTCTCTCACTTCTGTAAGTGCTGGTGGTTTTGTAAATAGCACTGATTGAATGGCCCCATCTCTGACAATCCACCCCTGCCAACAGGACTCCATAACTTGGGTTTGGGCTGTGACACCATACCGCTGTCTGAAACATTGCTCTTTACATGTTGTTGAAATGCATCCTCTGTTGGCGGCAGATCTTCAGAGGCTGCATCTGTTGTTGATGCAATTATGAACCTCAGTTCATCCAAGTTTGTGCACATCAGTCCAATTTCCTTTTTTCCATATAGCAGAAGCGCAAATTCTCTTGCGACTGGCAAAGACTCTTTCAAGCTGGCAGAGAGTCCAACATGGGCCAGATCTTTGAGCTCGCTGAGATGGGTCTTGAGTTTGGTGAATGCTGTTGTCTTTCCGATTCTGTACAAACTACTTGTTGTGCCACAGCCAGTGAGTGCATGACATGCTGGTAGACATCATTGTAGTTGCCGCCCAGCTTCAGGACCATCTCCAACTAAACGGCCTGTTTGAGAAATTCCAGCCGGTTTCCGTTCCGCCCACAGCACTGAAACAGCTCTGGTCAGGGTCACAAACGACCTGCTATAAACACTATGTTTTAGAGGCTTGTCATTTAGAACTAATACACTTGATTGTATTGGGTTACTCTTATTCTGACTATTTGGTGATGTAGTTCAGCCACCTGGTATTTCCCTCTCCAAATATAATGACCATCAGAGTGAGCATTCTTAACTTATAAGCTATTGTGCCACTTATCCACCATTTGGAATTTGACTATCAGAGAAGAGGTAGGCCTATGTCTAAAGAAATCTCATTTGCAATAGAACTGTACCAGATATTTCCATACAACTACTGGTTAGTGTTCAATAGCACACTAGACAATTCAGTAATGGTATATTTTTTTTTTAGGGATTTCTGTTTTTCTGATAAATGAGAGAAAAGTGATTGAGTCCTATGTTCCTATCACCAAAAAGTACAATTTCCGTCTAAACTAAAGCGAAGTCTACAGGACTATAATTCAGTATTTCTTTAGTTAAATAATTGTCTGACTATTTGGTGATGTAGGACAGCCACCTGGTTCATACCTCAGCAAATCTGAAGAGGAAAAGTGGTCATTCTCAAGTTATGGGCTTTTTTGTCACCTTTCCCATATTCGGCCTGGTCTAATTTGGCTCTTTTTCAGGGATTGGGGTAGTTCTAAAGAACCAAAAAAACATTTTTTTCCCCAAAATAAAATTTGACAACAATCAATTTCATTAATGGGAAACCCTAAAGATAAGAAATTATTGTCATTTGTTCTACCTCGGGTAGGGGTATCTCAAAATCTGAGGGCCCTTCCTGCTAGACTATCAGGTTCCATAGAGCCAAAACATTTCAAGTGCTACTCAACTGGCTTTAGATAAGCCAGTCCTTTATTAGTATATAAGTGCTTTGTTAGTAATTCTATCGCTCCAGGTGGAGTCGAAAGAGATGAGTTTTCAGTCTGCGCCGGAAGATGTGCAGGCTTTCTGCTGTCCTGATGTCAATGGGGAGCTCATTCTACCATTTAGGAGCCAGGATAGCAAACCCACATGTTTTAGCTGATGGGACCCTTTAGGTTGTTGTGCTGGTTTCCCCCAAAGCCTTGTCTACATTGCTCATCTTTTTTTATCTTTGTCAATTTGAAGTATTAAACCACATTTCTCAATTTAACACTTGGTCTGTCTTTTAGCCTTAAGTGATGGGACTCAAACAGTTGAGCTGTTTTCAAATACACATTTTTAAAGGGTCACATTAGTTAAGCCTCTAATCTCAAAATAGTACTGGTATTACAGAAATGGAATTCAACTTTACGTGACAAAGATGTCTGCCCTTTGACTAGATGTGTTTTTTAAAAAGTATAACTTATTACCTTTCAGTGGATGGTAAATGGGAGCCATTGATGAAGGCATCAGCCAGATGTGGGTTCAGTGTAGTCTTGCATCCTGAAGGGGCAGTAATCTCTGTTCGCTATGCACCCTGTCTGGGCATCAAGGTATGGGAGAGTATTTATTTTTATTTGATCTCCTTAAAAAAATGTTGGATAACCAATTGATCTTATTGTTTCAGGATGGCATGTACACCCTTGAATTGGCTGGTGAGGGAGAAACTAAAATCTCCTGTCCATCATTGTCAGCTGTTTCAAAGTTTCCTGGGAAACCATATCAAGGGTCAGAGGATATCAAAGGACCCAAGTTGCCTCAACCTGCAGCTCAGGACACAAAAGCTCCCACTACTGTACAGCCATCCCAAAAATCAACCCCTTTTATAGCGACATCTGCAAGCCAGCCAGAGTCTGACAACCCTCAAGAACAATTACAACAGCCTTTCTACCCCTCCTTCCCCTACTATCCTCAGCCACAACCTGAAAAGCCAACTGCACCTCCCATACCACCCCAGCCTGACACTCCTCAGGGCCAAGTACAGCAGCCCTTCCTCCCCTTTCCCCACTACCCTCAGCCAGTGCCTGAAAAGCAAACTTCCGCTCCCAAACCTCCACAGCCTGACGCCCCACAGGACCCAGTACAGCAGCCCTTCTTCCCCTTCCCCTACTACCCTCAGCCAGAGACTGAACAGCTAACTGCTGCTCCCAAACCTCCACAGCCTGACGCCCCACAGGTCCCAGTACAGCATACCTTCTACCCCTTTCCCAACTACCCTCAGCCAGCACCTAACCAGCCAACTGCAGCCCCCAAACCTCCCCAGCCTGACGCCCCACAGGGCCCAGTACAGCAGCCCTTCTACCCCTTCCCCTACGACCCTCAGCCAGCACCTAACCAGCCAACGGCTGCTCCCAAACCTCCACAGCCTGACGCCCCACAGGGCCCAGTACAGCAGCCCTTCTACCCCTTCCCCTACGACCCTCAGCCAGCACCTAACCAGCCAACGGCTGCTCCCAAACCTCCACAGCCTGATGCCCCACAGGGCCCAGTACAGCAGCCCTTCTTCCCCTTCCCCCACTACCCTCAGCCAGCACCTAACCAGCCAACTGCAGCCCCCAAACCTCCCCAGCCTGACGCCCCCCAGGGCCCAGTACAGCAGCCCTTCTACCCCTTCCCCTACGACCCTCAGCCAGCACCTAACCAGCCAACTGCTGCTCCCAAACCTCCACAGCCGGACGCCCCACAGGGCCCAGTACAGCAGCCCTTCTTCCCCTTACCCTACAACCCTCAGCCAGCACCTAACCAGCCAACTGCTGCTCCCAAACCTCCACAGCCTGACGCCCCACAGAGCCCAGTACAGCAGCCCTTCTTCCCCTTCCCCCACTACCCTCAGCCAGCACCTAACCAGCCAACTGCAGCCCCCAAACCTCCCCAGCCTGACGCCCACAGGGCCCAGTACAGCAGCCCTTCTACCCCTTTCCCAACTACCCTCAGCCAGCACCTAACCAGCCAACTGCTGCTCCCAAACCTCCACAGCCTGACGCCCCACAGGGCCCAGTACAGCAGCCCTTCTACCCCTTTCCCAACTACCCTCAGCCAGCACCTAACCAGCCAACTGCAGCCCCCAAACCTCCCCAGCCTGACGCCCCACAGGGCCCAGTACAGCAGCCCTTCTACCCCTTCCCCTACGACCCTCAGCCAGCACCTAACCAGCCAACGGCTGCTCCCAAACCTCCACAGCCTGACGCCCCACAGGGCCCAGTACAGCAGCCCTTCTTCCCCTTCCCCCACTACCCTCAGCCAGCACCTAACCAGCCAACTGCAGCCCCCCAAACCTCCACAGCCTGACGCCCCACAGGGCCCAGTACAGCAGCCCTTCTACCCCTTCCCCTACGACCCTCAGCCAGCACCTAACCAGCCAACTGCTGCTCCCAAACCTCCACAGCCTGACGCCCCACAGAGCCCAGTACAGCAGCCCTTCTTCCCCTTTCCCCACTACCCTCAGCCAGCACCTAACCAGCCAACTGCAGCCCCCAAACCTCCCCAGCCTGATGCCCCACAGGGCCCAGTACAGCAGCCCTTCTACCCCTTCCCCTACGACCCTCAGCCAGCACCTAACCAGCCAACTGCTGCTCCCAAACCTCCACAGCCTGACGCCCCACAGGGCCCAGTACAGCAGCCCTTCTACCCCTTTCCCAACTACCCTCAGCCAGCACCTAACCAGCCAACTGCAGCCCCCAAACCTCCCCAGCCTGACGCCCCACAGGGCCCAGTACAGCAGCCCTTCTACCCCTTCCCCTACGACCCTCAGCCAGCACCTAACCAGCCAACTGCTGCTCCCAAACCTCCACAGCCTGACGCCCCACAGGGCCCAGTACAGCAGCCCTTCTTCCCCTTACCCTATTACCCTCAGCCAGCACCTAACCAGCCAACAGCTGCTCCCAAACCTCCACAGCCTGACGCCCCACAGGGCCCAGTACAGCAGCCCTTCTTCCCCTTCCCCCCACTACCCTCAGCCAGAGACTGAACAACCAACTGCTGCTCCCAAACCTCCACAGCCTGACGCCCCACAGGGCCCAGTACAGTACCCTCAGCCAGTGCCTGAAAGGCCAACTTCCACTCCCAAACCTCCACAGCCTGACACCCCAGAGGGCCCAGTACAACCGCCCTTCTTCCCCTTCCCCTACTACCCTCAGCCAGAGACTGAACAGCCAACTGCTGCTCCCAAACCTCCACAGCCTGATGCCCCACAGGGCCCAGTACAGCAGCCCTTCTTCCCCTTCCCCTACTACCCTCAGCCAGAGACTGAAAAGTCAACTGCTGCTCCCAAACCTCCACAGCCTGACGCCCCACAGGGCCCAGTACAGCAGCCCTTCTACCCCTTCCCCTACGACCCTCAGCCAGCACCTAACCAGCCAACTGCTGCTCACAAACCTCCACATCCTGACGCCCCACAGGGCCCAGTACAGCAGCCCTTCTACCCCTTTCCCAACTACCCTCAGCCAGCACCTAACCAGCCAACTGCAGCCCCCAAACCACCCCAGCCTGATGCCCCACAGGGCCCAGTACAGCAGCCCTTCTACCCCTTCCCCTACGACCCTCAGCCAGCACCTAACCAGCCAACTGCTGCTCCCAAACCTCCACAGCCTGACGCCCCACAGGGCCCAGTACAGCAGCCCTTCTACCCCTTTCCCAACTACCCTCAGCCAACACCTAACCAGCCAACTGCAGCCCCCAAACTTCCCCAGCCTGACGCCCCACAGGGCCCAGTACAGCAGCCCTTCTACCCCTTCCCCTACGACCCTCAGCCAGCACCTAAACCAGCCAACTGCTGCTCCCAAACCTCCACAGCCTGACGCCCCACAGGGCCCAGTACAGCAGCCCTTCTTCCCCTTCCCCCACTACCCTCAGCCAGCACCTAACCAGCCAACTGCAGCCCCCAAACCTCCCCAGCCTGACGCCCCACAGGGCCCAGTACAGCAGCCCTTCTACCCCCTTCCCCTACGACCCTCAGCCAGCACCTAACCAGCCAACTGCTGCTCCCAAACCTCCACAGCCGGACGCCCCACAGGGCCCAGTACCGCAGCCCTTCTTCCCCTTACCCTATTACCCTCAGCCAGCACCTAACCAGCCAACTGCTGCTCCCAAACCTCCACAGCCTGACGCCCCACAGGGCCCAGTACAGCAGCCCTTCTTCCCCTTTCCCCACTACCCTCAGCCAGAGACTGAACAACCAACTGCTGCTCCCAAACCTCCACAGCCTGATGCCCCACAGGGCCCAGTACAGTACCCTCAGCCAGTGCCTGAAAGGCCAACTTCCACTCCCAAACCTCCACAGCCTGACACCCCAGAGGGCCCAGTACAATTGCCCTTCTTTCCCCTTCCCCTACTACCCTCAGCCAGAGACTGAACAGCCAACTGCTGCTCCCAAACCTCCACAGCCTGATGCCCCACAGGGTCCAGTACAGCAGCCCTTCTTCCCCTTCCCCTACTACCCTCAGCCAGAGACTGAAAAGTCAACTGCTGCTCCCAAACCTCCACAGCCTGACGCCCCACAGGGCCCAGTAAAGCAGCCCTTCTACCCCTTTCCCCACTACCCTCAGCAAGAGACTGAAAAGCAAACTACTGCCCCACAGCCTGAAAAGGCAATGGATGCTCCTAAACAACCACAGCTACAACCCATATATTCACAACTTGTAACTTTACCCCCTGCTACCACCTTGCAGCAACCACAACAGGTCACAGCTCACTCAACAGGCATTCCATACATGCCACCCATGTACTGTCCTCAGTTCTGCCCAGCTGGAATTTCTAATTGCTGTCCTCAAATTGCTTTTCATCAACATCTCCATCAAATAGTCCCTGCTGGACTTGGCATTCCAGATTCACCTTCATTCCATTCAGGACTGCCTTTCCTTCCTTCAAAGGCATATTCTGGTTTTGGCAAGGGCTTGGGATTTGCCCCAAAGCCAACTGAAACATCAATGCAACCTACCACAACTCAGTCCCTTCCATCTCAACATGAAAAGCCAACTTCCGCTCCCAAACCTCCACAGCCTGACGCTCCACAGGGCCCAGTACAGAAGCCCTTCTACCTCTTCCCCAACTACCCTCAGCCAGAGCCTGAACAGCCAACTGCAGCCCCCAAACCTCCACAGCTTGATGCCCCACAGGGCCCAGTACAGCATCCCTTCCACCCCCTCCCCCACTACCCTCAGCCAGCACCTAACCAGCCAAATGCAGCCCCCAAACCTCCCAGCCTGACGCCCCACAGGGCCCAGTACAGCAGCCCTTCTTCCCCTTCCCCCACTACCCTCAGCCAGAGACTGAACAGCCAACTGCTGCTCCCAAACCTCCACATCCTGACGCCCCACAGGGCCCAGTACAGCAGCCCTTCTACCCCTTTCCCAACTACCCTCAGCCAGCACCTAACCAGCCAACTGCAGCCCCCAAACCTCCACAGCCTGACGCCCCACAGGGCCCAGTACAGCAGCCCTTCTAACCCCTTCCCCTACGACCCTCAGCCAGCACCTAACCAGCCAACTGCTGCTCCCAAACCTCCACAGCCTGACGCCCCACAGGGCCCAGTACAGCAGCCCTTCTTTCCCTTCCCCCACTACCCTCAGCCAGAGACTGAAAAGCAAACTACTGCCCCACAGCCTGAAAAGGCAATGGATGCTCCTAAACAACCACAGCTACAACCCATATATTCACAACTTGTAACTTTACCCCCTGCTACCACCTTGCAGCAACCACAACAGGTCACAGCTCACTCAACAGGCATTCCATACATGCCATCCATGTACTGTCCTCAGTTCTGCCCATCTGGTATTTCTAATTGCTGTCCACAAATTGCTTTTCATCAACATCTCCATCAAATAGTCCCTGCTGGACTTGGCATTCCAGATTCACCTTCATTCCATTCAGGACTGCCTTTCCTTCTTTCAATGGCATATTCTGGTTTTGGCAAGGGCTTGGGATTTGCCCCAAAGCCAACTGAAACATCAATGCAACCTACCACAACAACATCTTCACCTATACCTCAGTCCCTTCCATCTCGACATGAAAAGAAACCAAATGTCCAACCACTGGATGGCATTCCTGCTGCAAACCATGATGATTTAATCAACCCAACAAAACCTGAATGGTCAGTTTATCCTTATAGTGTACCAGGATCAGCTTATCCTAATTTGCAATATTTACCACAAGGCCAATTGCCATTTAAATACAATGTGCCTTCTAGACCACAGGCTCCAGGTAATGAACCAGTTAATCAAGTGCTGCAATATGAGCCATATAACATACAGGCCCAAAAGGGCCAATTATCACCCAGGGGCATGAGTTATCCATCAGGGCCTAATTTCATGTCCCATATTGGCCAATACTTACAACTGCAGCATAAAGCAAAGCGGGGAAATGTGCTTCCGGCCAAGGAACTACAGCCATCCAACAAAAAATCCAGTCTATCTAAAGGTCCTGAACCTGATCGTCTTCTGGTCCCGTACTACATGCTTCAAGATGCTCAAACGCGTACCGATAACAAATCAAGGGCCTCTGGCAACGCCTCACAGCCATATGTGACTGCCTCAAAGAAAGTAAATGAACATGAGCAGACTGTGCACTCTTCTGAACCAAAGAGTTATGTGCTTCTACACAGCATGGCCCACCAGGAAGGGAGTCTGATGATGATCCAAAAGGTAAACTATTGTTTTTCACTCTAAATGGTGAATGCGTTTAATGTTTTGTTACAGTGACTTGGACTAATGTGTGCCTCTCTTGCAGGACTGAGCCAACTGCTTCAGAGATGGGGTATGAAAAAGGAAACAGAAATGAGTCCTTAAATGTGAATAAACTATTTAAATGGAATACCTAAGGCTTTTGATGTTTCCTGTTACGCTTGTGGAATTCCAAATTGTATGTCTTTGGTCATTGTCTTGCAAAATGTGAGTAAGGAGGAAAGCAGAATATTGTACTAGTCTCCTTTTGGAGTTGCATTGACAATCACTGACACCCTTTATATTTGCAAGGTTTCAAGTGGACGGCTTGCCCCTTTAACTTGCTGCTATTCAGAATCAAAAGGTGCATTGCCCTTGAACTTATTTGTCTTATTTTTTCTTGCCATGAACTGGTACTTCCTGAACATTGACCCATTCATGTAAACAGACTTACTGTAATTGCCCCATTCGACAATATTGACCCTGAAGTAGAACATTAAACTCTTGTGCCAAGGTGTAACAGTTGGGTGTCTTTATGAAGCGTAAAATATTTTAAAGTGGAATTTTCCTCTTTTGAACGTGTGAATATATATTTAAAAAATGTAAGATTTGTAACTATCATTTTTTACAGTTACAGTGAACTAACCAGTGAACTACCCCCCGCCGAAACATATTTGTTTAAAAACCTGTCAAGACATTGGATGTAATTAACTGAATGTTGGCCAAGAAACAGGCCAATTTCAAAATGTTCTTTATTGGGGAAATGTCAATGGGTTCACAGGGATGTCATTAGCATTAGTCAACACACTGGGCAAACAGTCATTTGTTTCACAATCACCTTTAAATATGTGGCATGACGTATATCAGTGTGTCCTCATCGAACATGTCAATGGCCTTGGGTATACTATTGAATGCGTCTAGGAAATGTAGTGCAGCAGAAATGTTTCAGTACATTTAAAGGTGGGGTAGGTAAGTTTGAGAAACCGGCTCGCGATACACTTGTTATATTCCATGGAATGCTCGTAACATCCCGATGGCAATGAATATCTTAAAAAAACGTCATCTATGGAAGCCGTAGTACTGTAAAAATCACGACCAATCATCTGAGCCGGCCCGGCTAAAATAACTGGATGGCCTACCTGCCTGTCAGCCTTCCATCTGTGCCCTCATCGGTCATGTGCGCGTTCGTTTGTGTTGGAGGAGGGGCTCTGTAAGGAAGTGGCAGATTTTTTTCCGGCTGTGTATTTTCAAATTCTAGTCCACTCGAGCTGGTTCTCCAAAATGACCTACCCCACCTTTAAAGGATGACTGGTGACCAAATGGAACACACAACTTTGACTTGGGACATTTTATTCAGCATCCAATACAAGTATATATTTGATTTAGGCATAATTTGCAATTAATTAGTTTCACTCTATAATGGATTGTTCTTTGTTGAATTGGTGTTACATCTACCAACCACATTAGTCATACATTATTTTAGTGCCAGTGTAGCTGAAATAAGCAAGTATAGAGTCTGTAGGACCTTAACTCTTAAAAGAATATTTTCCTTCCTGGGCACACTGGCACAACAACAATGGGGTCAACCACTGCGTGGGCAGCTGCGACAGGTACATCTATTTTCACAACAACAGGGACCCTCAGCACTGTTTGAGGAATCTGAGTCCGATCCAGCGTCAGCAGCTAGCGCATCATCGGCAGCGAGATCAGCAGCAGGTGCAGCAGCATCAACCACTGGCGGGGCTACAGGTACAACTTCGGATGACTCTGCAGATTCTGAGGACAGGAAGCCACTTGGCTCAGGCTCATGGAGAGTAGTCAGTTTGTGGTACCTCAGACCAAGCTTGGGTGACAGGCTGCCTGTGTGTATGTGGACCATCGGTGGCATGCCAGGAGATGCAGCTGCAGTGCTGTTGGTATCTGCAGCTGCAGTGATGTTGACATCTGCCACAGTGCTGTTGGCATCTATAATAGGCATCTGAAAAAGTGTTTCCATCAACATAAGCTTAGTACAAAAAAAAACTATATTTACTGTTAAGCACAGTTTTGGATATAAATAATAAATTGGAGAACTTAAATACAGTATATTACCATAGTTAAAAACATCTTGCAGTCCACTAAGTGATCAATGCTAGAACCTCTGGCGGTACAAAAACCACGTGCCTGGTGGAAAAAATAAAATCTTTAACTGAATTGTGTTAATTTCAAGCTGTTTTGAGAGGTGCCTTATTAACCAGAGTTCTATGATTTATTTACTTACAGCCATGGCGTCATTCAGGGGAACGCAGGGGTCATCAGTGCAGTTAGCTTCAACTACAACATATTCTGCCAAATAGATTGCCCCCCCAGACACCACCTTAAACAAGGTATTGAGAAGTATTAACAGACTGATAAGCATATTTAACATCCATTAAATCTTAAGGGGGGGAAATAACTTAACGTGATTGGACCCACCTGTGATGACATCCTTCCAACCTCCATAACAGCGTACGTGACGTTTTCAGTCATGTTGTTGAAGGTTGCCAGAGAGGTGTGGACAAAGTCCAGTGCAGTAGTGTCGTTTAGGGGAAGGAGGGTATGACAGCCCAAGCACAAGTCCTCCGTAGATTCTATATGTCATTAAAGAAAGGTTTTTCTTTGTATGGGTTACATGTTTGGGCGTCTTCAGAATGTATGTGGGTGTCATATTGTTGACCAATAAATGTTTTACCTTCTGTTTTACACTTGAATGCTGTGACGGTCATCACTCCGCCAACCCTCTTCAGCAGCACATCACAGTCTCCTTCTACTGCCTGGTAAGAGACAAAGAATCAGTCTACCTGGCAGAAACACGCTATCATTAATTCACAGCCTTATATTGTGGGTATTGTCCACAGTTGGTGACCATTGCATGTATGATATGTGTAATGTGTATTGTAAAGCGCTTTGAGCATCTGGAAAAGCGCTATAATAAATGTAAGGAATTATTATTATTATTATTATTATTATATTATCATAACCATGACATTTGGTCTAATTCATTTAGCTCCAATAGGAAAGCTTCTATGTAGTAATGCCTCACCGTCATTCTTTTAGGCCTCACGGTGCAGTTCGCAAGAGGTGTGGGATCCAGGACATGACAGTCTGTCTCCAGCAGTTCAATCTCCAACTTATATGTGTTGTCTCCATCAGGCTTTGGAAGGAAAAAAACGAATATTAATTACTTTAATTAAAGGGTTCTGATATGGGTTAAAGGTATACTCACCATGAATGTTTTTACTTTATCTATATTATGCACTTTCCCATGACATTTTACTACATGTTTTTTAAGCATAGCATATTTTTTATAGGACATTTTCTTTCCCTTGAAATATTTTTTATGTTCATAAAAAAATATACATTCATCATATCACAGTTTAATCTTCAAAATGATGTGATCCTGTAATGCAGGACATTTTATGTCATGAGTTGTTTGTTATGCATTGCATTCACAAGTTATTGCTTTAAAGTTGAATAACAGCAGATGAAAAAGAGAAACTATCTGTATGGATATTTTTTGCAGCTGCTGATTTACAAAATAATTACACCTGCTGACTCACTCTAAACCCGCCTGACTTAAAAACACTCTACACCTCCTGATTAATGTGACTCTAAACATACTAACTTACACACACTCTAAGGCCGTTTCTCAATGTCGAGTATACCTACTGCAGAGCCACTATTTCAAGTATTCTACGTCATCGAGTGGCGCCGAATGCTGGGCATTTAACATGCATTTAAACAGTCCTTCGGCGCCACTCGATGACGTAGTATACTTGAAATAGTGGCTCTGGAGCAGGTTTACTCGACATGAGAAACGGCCCTAAGTTTCCTGACTTGCGCACGATCTCCACCTGCTGACTTACCTTAGTGTAACCTTGATGTCCTCTATTCTGTCAGTGCATACTTGTAGCCATGAGTGTGCTGGGCGTCTGAGGTAATCCTGAGCCGCCAGAGCAGCCTCCTCTGCCTCAGGGAGTCACACTGAGGTCGCTCTATTGTTGGTCTGAGCCCAACCCCCTAACAGTAGGCCCAGGACCACAGTGACCCCCAGGGTATTCATTTTATTCGATAGATGCAATCAAGAAGTATCAGAGCAGTGGTGCAGATGAGGGTTAGAAGGAGAGGAGAAGCTCATGTAGCCTGCAGAGAATATATCCTGTACTTAAATCAGAAAACTCAGCCAAGTTAAACCCCATGATCTTTCCTCCTGACCTCCTGCGTCACATGTGGATCGTCCTCTGTTTTAGGATTGGTGCCAAAACAAATGGAAGCTGCCCAAAGTCTGCCCGGGACGAGCATGTCTGAGTTCAAGTCCTTCACGGTTCACTAACGAAATGGTGCATCTCAAGGGGTTTATCCCAATCAATAAAAATGTCTATATATATACTATGGCGAGATATGTAGAAATATCGCACACTATCTTGGATTTCCATTAGTAGGCTGTGCAGATTCAACACCAATGTTTCGTGAATGAAATAATAATGTGTGAAGAGATTCATGTTCAGACAAACACCCGTATTGTGTAACCAGCAGACAGCAAGGACCCAATGACTTCAATGACACTTCAGTGAAGAGGATATTTGCCAACAAGAGGGACATAGTTGAGGGACACTCACTGCTACACCCACATATTTGCTCTGTGTTTCACCGTTTGCACAAGGGGTCTACACTCCAGGTCAGGAACAGGCTACTTATCGGAAATAATGATTAAAGTATTACTAGTAAAAGATCCGCTTTTAGGGAACTGAATCGGGGTCAAAACCTACAGATAATCGGATGTAGCTGTGCAAAGGATGTACTCGTCCACATCCTGTGCACGCCTTGGACTTTGGGCTCATACATTGAAGGGATAGTTGGATGTTTTGGAATGGGGTTGTGTGAGGTACCGATAGTTAGTGTATACATACAAATGGCTGCTGGCACGGCCCCAGTTTGGAAAAACCCACAAAAGTTAAGGCAGGTCAACCACGATTAAGCAAGAGAGACCAAGTGGAGTTATAAAGGGAGAAACTCTGAGTTGCATGCTGGTCAGGTTTAAAAGGATTTGAGAAGGAAAACTTACAAAGAAAATGTAACCGTTTTGTTAGGAACATTCCAATTTCCATGAGTGTGGACAAGGGAAAGAAGAAAGAGCAAGGATATAATTATGGAATGGAGGGCTCAGAGTTCACCAGATCCATTGCACTGAGAGTACCCCCTCTTCCAAAAATAAAGACAGACGTGAGTATCTTAGAACAGAAAATGAATGGCAAATTGATGAAGAAGGAGATAAAACAAGTATGTACCTGAGAATAGTTATTACCATTATCTCAAATGCACACAGACAAGAACAAACAGAGGCTTTTATATCCCTCAGTTTAACATTTCTAAAAGGGGTTAAAGGGAATATGTGTACTAATAATCTTACAAAAAAGTACACTAAGAAATGGGGGTTTCACAAACTTCAGAAGTGAGTCATCACAAAGAACTGATAAGAAATGTTAAGTGAAGAAAAAATCAATACTAGTCTCAAATTGGATCCACACAGGATGAAATGCCATTATGTCTGTAATGGGAAATGGAAAGTACAAAATGGGGAGCTGTGGAGCTAAATAAATGTGGAAACATATCCTATTTCATTAGAACATGTATAAGGCAAGGCAAGGCAAGTTTATTTATATAGCACCTTTCAACACAAGGCAATTCAAAGTGCTTTACAAAAAACGAAAGACATTAAGAAAATGGCATTTAAAATCAGTCATTAAAAAGAAAAGATAATAAAATAAACATTAAAAGGGAAAAAAATACATGAAAAAACAAAATACATGGATAAAAGTTACAGTGCAGTCTAAGATGTGAATAGTTCAATTAAAAGCAGCGACAAAAAGAAAGTCTTTAGTCTGGATTTAAAAGTAGTCAGAGTTGCAGCGGACCTGCAGGTTTCTGGGAGTTTGTTCCAGATATTTGGAGCATTATAACTGAACGCTGCTTTACCATGTTTAGTTCTGACTCTGGGGATAGAAAGCTGACCAGTCCCTGAAGACCTGAGAGATCTGGATGGTTCATAATTAGCAGGAGGTCAGAAATGTATTTTGGGCCTAAACCATTCAAAGCTTTATAAACCAGCAGCAGTATTTTGAAATCTATTCTTTGACACACAGGAAGCCAGTGTAAAGATTTCAGAACAGGAGTGATGTGATCCACTTCTTAGTGTTAGTGAGGACTCGAGCAGCAGCGTTCTGAATCAGCTGCAGCTTTCTAATAGATTTTTTAGTGAGACCTGCAAAGACACCATTACAGTAGTCCAGTCTACTGAGGATAAAAGCATGGACAAGTTTTTCCAAATCCTGCTGTGACATTAGTCTTTTAATCCTAGATATATTCTTTAGGTGATAGTAGGCTGATTTAGTAACTGTTTTTAATGTGACTGTTGAAACTCAGGTCAGAGTCCATGACTACACCTAGATTTCTGGCTTTATCTGTTGTTTTGAACATTGCAGACTGAAGCTCAGTGCTAACTTTTATTACGTTCTGCCTTGGCTCCAAAAACCATCACCTCAGTTTTATCTTTGTTTAATTGGAGAAAGTTCTGACACATCCAGTCATTGATTTGTTCAATGCACTTACTCAGTGTTTGAATTGGAGCATAGTCTCCTGGTGAAATTGTTACGTAAATGTGTGTGTCATCCGCATAGCTATGGTAACTTATTTTGTTGATTTTCATTATCTGAGCCAGTGGTAGCATGTAGATGTTAAAGAGAAGAGGCCCCAAGATGGAGCCTTGAGGTACCCCACATGTCATATTTGTCAACTCAGATGTGTATTTACCTATAGAAACAACGTTTTTTCTGTCCTTTAAGTAGGATTCAAACCAATTTAGAACTGTTTCCGAAAGTCCCACCCCAGTTTTTCTAGTCGGTCTAGTAATATGTTGTGGTCCACAGTGTCAAATGCAGCACTGAGATCTAATAATACTAACACTGAAGTTCTGCCACTGTCTGTGTTTAAGTGGGTGTCATTGAAGACCTTTACAAGAGCAGTCTCAGTGCATGTGGTTTGGACGAAAGCATGACTGGAACACATCGAAAACAACCTATTTAAATGCAAGAAATTACTCAACTGTTGAAAAACAACTTTTTCAATGATTTTACCTAGAAATGGCAGGTTTTATATGGGCCTGTAATTGTTCATTACTGAAGCATCTAGATTATTCTTTTTTAGGAGCGGTTTTAATGACTGCAGTTTTCAGGGCCTGTGGAAAAATACCTGAGTGAAGAGATTTGTTTACTATATGAAGTAGATCTGAGGCCATGCAAGGCAAAACATCTTTGAAAAATCCTGTTGGAATAATATCAAGGCAGCAGGAGGAGGATTTCAGAAGTTATATAATGTCCTCTAGGTTTTTATCATTAATCTGATGGAATTGTGTCATGGTGTTTGAATTGATTTTAAGTGGACACAGAGACAACACATTTGCTGTACCTGATGCAGAGGCACTGACTGCTTGTCTGATTTTCTGAATTTTGTCAGTGAAGAAGGAGGCAAAATCATTGCACGCCTTGGTGGATAGAAGTTCAGAGGCTACTGACACTGGGGGGTTAGTTAGTCTGTCGACGGTAGCAAACAAGGCAGGTGCATTGTTTTTGTTTTTGGTAATGATGTCAGAGAAGAAAGACTGTCGTAAGGCCAAGTATAAAACAAAAGATAAAAGTTAAATGACAAATGAGCAAAACAGCAATCTGATGTTGGTGCTGGGAACACACCAAGAGCTACCAGAGAGGAATTATTACTTGACTCAAGGTTGATGAGAATAATTACAAACCATGAAGTTCACCAGTGGTGTACAGTAGGTGGCGGTACGGTTGTCAAAGTAATTTTTGATCCGCCAGCAAAGCGAGAGAAGAAGAAAAGGAAGAATGTGATTGGTCTACGCAGGAGTGACACGTTTGCCCACGCGACTGCCAGTGTGGACTAGATTGTAAACACTCATGGAAGTGCGCTCTATGTTTAAAGGTGATGAAACAGCTAATTTTTTTGTGTAAAATTAAAACTACTTTCATTCACAAACAAGTATATATGGTATCTCTTTACAGACATTAATTAATCCTTCTCCAGAGTTTCAGAGAGGCACACGAGGCAGTAACGGTAAGGCAGCATGTTTAGCTAGCGGCTCACCATTTGTTGTTGTGTCAGTAAACCTAGCTGTGTTAGCTTCTTTAGCCAGTGTATTTCCTTTAAAAATCCTCATATCAAGAAGAAACCACACCTGACAGGGAAAACTGAGTCTTGTGTGGTGTCAAATTCAGGAGGAAATCAAATATATACATATATATGTTAGGCTTGTGCAACTGACAGATTACCTGAACTGCTATGCAAAGCTTTGACAACCATTGGAAATGCATCGTGTATCTCCACATATTTGCCAGATTTCAGATCCTACTAAAGTGTGTACAAATAACTGTTGCTCTAGCAACCAGGATTTTTTTTTTTTACATTTTTGTTGTTGCAATGAAGCTCCAAAGTACCGTGGTAAATTTGGTTTTATATTGGACGTTGGATATTCGACACATTCGAAAAATCTATTTAACACTGGCTTCGATGGACGCATTTTTGTCAAACCAACTTTGATGTGTTAATACAAGGCCTGCCTATATAACACAAAGCTTCTTTTGTCAAAAAACCCACCTTTTGATTTTATACTATTTTTTTAATGTTAAAAAATGCTATAAATCTATTCTGCGGCTTGGCCTTTTCACCTACACATGTCATAACACATCTGATGAACTCAGCTAACTGCCCTACACTTAACACAAAGCTTTTTTTTTCAAAAAAACCCACCCTTTGATTTTATACTATTTTTTTAATGTTAAAAAATGCTATAAATCTATTATGCGGCTTCGCCTTTTCACCTACCCATGTCAAAATACATCTGATGAACTCAGCTAACTGCCCTACACTTAACACAAAGCTTTTTTTACTATTTTTGTAATGTTAAAAAATGCTATAAATCTATTATGCGGCTTGACCTTTTCACCTACCCATGTCAAAACACATCTGATGAACTCAGCTAACTGCCCTAGACTTAACACAAAGCTTTTTTCCCCCAAAAAACGCACCTTTTGATTTTATACTATTTTTTTAATGTTAAAAAATGCTATAAATCTATAATGCGGCTTGAACCTTTCACCTACACATGTCAAAACACATCTGATGAACTCAGCTAACTGCCCTACAC